AATCTATTCCAGGTCTGTTGAATTAAAACAAAGGAGTATTATTGCTTTATGACTGGGCTAGATGTTTACACAGTGGTTGCTAGATCATTCTTGTTTATTGCTAGCTGAAGTTAGGTGAAGGTTTGGTACATCTTCTGTGATTCATAATGTAATGACTAATTTTCAAGAAACCTGAAAACTTAAATTTTATGTAATTCACTGTGGTAAATATAAAACATGTATATGATTTCATACTCATAATAACTATAAATATTTGAAAGTTGCTAAAAACAAAAATCAGGAAGTCCTGTCTAATTGGAGGCTGGGCCTTAATTTTTTCAATATAATTTTGGTATTATCAGGCAAGTCCTTTGATATTTTCCCATTTAATAAACCCAATAGATCTGGGTGATGGACATCATTGGCCAAGGTGTGGGTGACGGAAACATCTCGTCATGGAAAAAAATTGGCCGAGGGCTGGATGACAGGCACATTTTGTCATGGGGAAATTGTTGGAGTGAGATTGACTCACCAGGCTTTCAGGTAGGAACCATGGCTGGGACCGGGTCATCTCCAGGGAAGGCACAATGCCCATGCACAGGAACTTCTTACTGTCTGCCATTACCATCAGTTTAGGTGTTACAGAAAATTTGATGATATTAAAATATAAAAAATATAATATGTCACTTGCTGTTATGGTTATTGCACACAGTAGAAACTACCTGGAGAAATAATATGGAGCCTGCTTAATGGAAACTGTCTATTAACATCTTTATACAGTATAACAAATAATATGTATAGACCTCAGAAAATGGCTAAAAGGCAAAAATATCTGCAAAAAAGGGCTAATAGCATTGCAAAAAATAGCAAGTAGTCTTGATACCACATGTTAGACACAAACCTGAGAGTCACCATTGAAGGAGGCCTAATGTCCAGATTTTGTTCAGCATGTGCTGTGAGGCACCCAGATCCAAAGGGTTAAGCAATAATTGTAATTCTCTACATCAGCTATTTTTAGTAGAATCATTATAGAATACAATTTGAATGTTAAGTATTTTTAATCCTTCACTGACAGGTACTGCTATAGCCTCATGACAATGGCCTATGACATATAAACACCTGACTTACAACAGCTTAGGCCTAGCCACAAAGTCTAGACTGTTGCATAATATTTGATCACAAAAAATTCAGACCCCATCTTGATAGGGTTAAATATTCAGTGGCATTCTGTTATATAGTTGAAAATATAAAATTTATATTAGCAATTTAAACAGATATTGTATTTTATGACTTGACCTTGTATTCCTTCTGGTGATATTCAATAATATCTAGTAAGGGTCTCGAGTTGTTATCTTGTAGATCTCATTGTTAATGATTGTATCTGTGATGGACTGAATGCTTTGTAATAGGTCTTTTAATGTATTTTATATGTAACTTAATTGATTACAACAATTTAAGGAGAAAGTTAGAGCAGTGCTAGAATGTTAATATAGTAGAAGAGTATTACTTGTTCAAATCTGTCAGCAAGACGTAGCATTACAGTTGTGATAATAATAGTTGGAAATTAAGTTATTAATATTATTATTTTCAAAATGTTACATCGTAGATTCCTTTCCATGTACATCTCAGTAGACTGAAATTAATATCATAATGGTGATCAGTGTGAATAATTATGCTCAGAAAGTTACCCATATTGTCACATTTACATATACATTATAACTGTAAGCAGAAAGAATATATTGTATTACTTTATTAGAAGTTTCATTTTATCAAGTAAATTGTATAAAATTTACAGCTATTTTTTATGTCAAAAACTAAGCTCAAAAAGTACTGTTACCTGTTAATTGCATAGATAGTGACAAAAATGAAAGTGCCAAACATTAGTTTCTGGGATTAAAATATGTGGCATAATTTATGAAATCAGTTTTAAGTCTGTTTTGTGGTACTTTTGTGTAATTAGCAGCTCTTAAGGAGAGCAAATATTACAGAGCTCCTCTCAGAGGAGACTGACATCAATATAAATTTCATGTTTGTCATCTGTCAGTCAGATCTTAATGAATGATTCCTTAAAAATTTCAGCTACAAGTAGATACACGACAGGATTACTACTTGCTAACTATATCTGCCATATATTCAGGAATCATTCAGTGTGAGTAATTTGTTTATAAGACAAGCTGCCAACAGTTCAGAATATGGGGCCTTTAAGTGATCAGCTGATAGTGCTCACATATGTGATTGTACCAGTGGGTGTCCCTGCTCAGAGATTGCAATGGCCTCACCATTAGATGAATTGGCAAGTCAAGAGTTTTGAATTTTTGAAAAACAAAAAGAAAGTGGCAGTTACTACATATTTTGGTTTTAATGGTATCATCCTCTTTTCAAATCAGAGACTTACCAAAAGTCAGTCTACCCTAACTGCATTATGTTCTTAGGTCTATTCTCTTTGAAAATGTACTTTAAGGGGTTGGCGATGGCTGAATAAATGCAATACTTTTGAATAATAGCACTGCATTTAAATAAAATGATCATCATTAACCTGACAATTATCCAACTTTTATTACCAATCTCACAAGTGTATCTTTACCTCATTAAAAGAAACTAAGTATCATGTGGGACTTGCGCAATAATGGTGTAGTAGTGTGGGTGACCTATGACATGGCTATTATATTCATAATAGAAGCACTGATCAGTGTACTGTTGCTTTCAGCTATTGTATGTAATGCAGTAAAATTGTTTTCCAAATATTATTTTGCATATTAATTTTCTTCAAATAAATTTATGAAATTCGATACTGTGTTCCAGAATAGTTTTAGTTTTAAGATTAAGGGTTGTGCCCACCACTGTAAACCCAGCATTATCATTCAGCACAGTCATGTGTAGAGGCATTACATACTTCTTTTCTATTTATTATTAACTGCATTTACTCTGTTTTAAATATACATACATATCTGGTATGCTGTTGCATACAATTTATTGTTGAGATTTTCTATAGACACTATTTTTATGCTTTTTATAAATAAAGGATAATGCTTTCACCACATAATTTGCTTACACCACAACTATATAGAGGCAATCCTCTAAATCTCTCAATTTTACTTACATATAAGTAGTCCAGCATGGTGTAAAAATTGATTTTGAATCAAAATGATACTAGTCACTGGATTATTATACCCAGGAATACTTATCAGGTTATTTATTTATTTTTTGTTTTATTTTTTTTTTGGGGGGGGGGGAATCTTTATATATCCTCAATAAGTAATAAAACACTCATATGACTATCTTTCATGTTTTTCACTCCAGGATATGTTTTGTCTACTTACAGAACACAATTTGAATCAAAAATGGATAAGATGAGTAACCTGGATGACTTAATGCTTTTCATCATAACTTGAAAATGCCATAGAATTCTGCCAGCAAGCTTTCAGTTCTAATATAGTAAATTTTAAGCCTCTTTCTTCATCTAAACAAAATGATAGAACCAATCATTTAAATAATACTCATGACCAATTCACCAAATATTGATTTTATTACTTGGAATTTTCATTTTATATTTCTTTCATGAAAAAATGGGTTTTACTGTCAATATCTACCTAACCCAACGATCTAAGGTAGAAGATTAGCAATACTATAAAAAATAGACAGTATACATTCTAATAGCATATGTTTTTAATTGAAAATTATTCTTAATTGACAGCTAAAATTAATGGTCCTGAAACATGTCATAAACGTTTGAATTTTTTTCCAATCTTCCATATTTGACTGGATATGCAGAAACATCCCCCTTGTCTTTCATACTATTATCATAAATGTGATGAATAAAGATATATATGATAAAGTTAAATATTTCTACTTAAATCACAAAATATAAAACTAAATCAGTATACAGCAAAGTCTTAAAAGATATGCAATTGAAAAACTTGTATGGATCATATTCTTAATATATGAAATGTTCATTACCTGTTTGGCTGTTAAGTTGCTATGAGACATTACTTCCATTTTACCTATAATTCATCATTCCTAATAACCAAGTTTCCAAGTGATGTGCACTTATAATATAACAAAGTTATGACTCCATGTATACTGGCAAAGCAATTTTACATGGCATTATTTGTGAGGCTTCATGGCAATAGTTTCCTTTACATTTTTCTCTAATGACAAAATTGAAAAACCTACACGCTGAGTTTCCAACATCTTGTAACTCTGTGCAGCTTCAAACTCCCCATCAAGATATTCACAGATATGCTTGCAAAACATTCAGACTGAAAACTACATGATGAAAAATGCCTTTTCAGTGATCTTCCACAGTTACATTCATTAGCAACTGCAAGACTAATAAACCATTTCCAAAACATTACACAGATAACCAACCTCTAGTACTACAAGTGGTATATTAATGGAATATAAAAAGTACATAAATGTAACTGGAAAAGTGACTAGGCAATTTATCTTCGATATGCCTTCAATAGTCTCTCAAATTAAATGAGACATAAAAATGCTAAACTGTAATATAAACATTCCGGCAACAATACACGAAGTCTTTCCTCTCTGATAGACTACCCTCTTTATCTAATAATAAACTGTGCACTGAATATAATTGCAGAATTTAGAAATTGGGATAAAGGTATATGCTACCATTTTCTAAATAAAAACTGGAAAATTTCATCTGATACCATTTATTTAACAACAATGATGTTGACAAACTCACCCCTATTTACCCAACTTACTGTGAAATATATTCTGTTGGATCAACAATATAACTTCATTGAGTATTATAACAAAATATAGCAATATACAAAGGCTTAAATAATAAATAACATCATGAGAATCAAATGGTGCTCAGAGCAAAACCCTTATTACTTATGTATGCATAACAAGGTACAAACATTGTGTGTAACATATTATACTAAATAATATTACACATACTGAAACACCGAACAGGAACAGTTCACAGAAAATTCATATCACAAACATCAACTATTCACCAAACACTAAATGAAACATATTACATGATTCATCAGTAGTGATAACAAATAATGAGTATATTACTTCTCATACATGGGACTGAAAGCAACTGTTTTTTCCTTCCCATAAAAATATCTAATACATTTTTTTTTATCCCTGAAAATATTGCATTTCAAATGAATCAACAAAATTTATCAAAACTTATCAAACAGTTTCAAAAATTCCTAACCAAATTTCAGTCCATGAACAGTATTTAGTTCACTAATTTCATCTCTTGTACTAGCCAGTCCCTACTCATATTTACACCAGCACCATCTTTCTACTTTTTTAAAATCTAAGTCTATTACAATCTACGTTCATATCTGCCAAACATTTCTAAACTTCAAATTTCACTTTTGACAATATATACACAAGAATCACAACCATTCTACTACTGGGCTTTATCTGCTACACACAATGTAACACCAGCACACACTAAACCTGCTCCAACCCAAGTCATTCTACTTGTGGTCTCCTCCCCTAGACAGTGACCTGCTACAGTAGTAACAAGGAAAGTAAGGCTGTTACTTATAGGGACTGCAAGAGACAGGTCTGCTGCACCAAGCAGATATACAAAGAGCACACTGCCTAGTTGGTTCAGCAGGAATGGAAACACATAACTAAACCGACTGGCAAGGAACTTCACTTCATACAAGGTCTGTGGGGGAAGACAATCCATGAATAATCTATGGTAACATATAATTCTTAATATCATGCCTTTCAATGAATTTGAAATTTCTATAAAAATCCTCATGGCATTTCTACTTCTACATCTGAAATCATAATTAAAAGAGACATTTGAAAAAAGCAAGTATACACACAAAGTAAGCCATCATTTCTGATAAAATCTATATGTAACCAAAATCAAAAATAATAAAGTAATTCTGTTGGCAAGACATTGCAAACAAATATAATACTAATTAATTTACACAATCCATTCCAATAACAAAATAATAACAACTTACCTGCAAAAGAGGATTTGACATTTGTATATCCTCAATACCAACACTTGCCCGCTTCAGCAGGGGGTTAGTCACTCCCCACAAGATGCTGACCACCAGCAGACACAAGACTAGCTCCAGCCCAGCCATTCTTCCTGGAGATATTTTCAGAATACAGAATTCCTGTCATTGTTTATGTACTCTAGTTAACACTGTATTCTTACTATTTATACTGTCTATTTCTGAAAAAATTAATTCTACACATTCTGTAAACTTAAGGGCAGAGAATTTAGCATATCACAATGCATGATAAAACTGTTCGAACCTTCACGGAGTAAACATCAGAAAGAAACATTTTGAGTGCAATGAAGTTAAATACAACTAATGAACACTGAGCTTAATCCAGAACTAGAAGAACCTGGAAATCAAAATGAAAAGACTTTCAATTCCCAATCATATAGAATACCTAGCGAAAATAATGATAGTGAGCAAGACCCAACTCCCAATATTCCTCAGAAAAACAGAGCCGGCAAGAGCAGCATGGAAGCTTACCCGACTACACTTTCCAAAATGACTCTTGGGTTGCTTGGTTACTACTAACTCCAATAAGAATAACAAAAAGAAGTAGTCACAGAAGCCAACAAAGATACCATGCCAATACTAAAGAGTTTGATTAAATATCTAAATGAAAAAAACAATATTTTGGAGTTCAAGATCAGTTCTAAACAAAACAAAAAAATAGAATTAGACTACATAATAGATAAAGAACAACCAGAGTTGATAGGAATTTGTGAAACATGGTTAAAGAATAATGATAAATTTACATTGCAAGATTATCAAGTAATACAAAAAGATAAATTAGATCAAATAGGTGGGGGTCTAGCCTTTTGCATAAGAAATGATATATAATTCCAGAAAATAAATTTAAATGACAATTTTAAAGATAGATTAGAGACAATGGGATTAAAGATTAATTACAAAAATAGATGGTTAAATGTTCTTGTAATGTACAATTCTTGCAACAATATAAAAACAGAACTAGAATAATATGTTAAACAAACTGAAAATCCACAACTAATCATAGGAGACTTTAATGCCAACCATACAAGTTGGAACCCCAGACTAAGAAACAGGTCAATAAACAAGACAGACAAAACTATATTTTCATTTACTAATCAAAATAACATAATCTTGTTAGCACCACCAGGTATAGTAACAAATATAAACCCTAAAAGTGCTAAAGGAACAACAATAGACCTGGTACTAGCATCACCATCACTAAGCCATTTAGTAATAGAAACAGGCCCAAATCTAGGAAGTGATCATCTTCCAATATTTATAAATGTTAATAATCCCACTAAAAGCTCTCAGTCCAGAGAGAAAAAAAAAAATGGAAATGAAAAATGAAAAATGAAAAATGCGGAGAAATAATAAAAATGAGAAACAGAGCTTTTAATAGGTGGAGGAAAAAAGCAAACCAAGAAAACCAAGTATAATATAAAACTGTAGTAATAAAAGCAAGGCAGATAATAGAAAAAGAGAAAAGCGAATCTTGGGAAAAGTTTTGCTCTTCTTTAGA